GTGTTCTCTGTGGTTAGTGTGTTCTCCGTGGTTAGCATACTCTCCGTGGTTAGCATACTCTCCGTGGTTAGCGTGCTCTCCGTGGTTAGCGTGCTCTCCGTGGTTAGTGTGCTCTCCGTGGTTAGCGTGCTCTCCGTGGTTAGCGTGCTGTCCGTGGTTAGCGTGCTCTCCATGGTTAGCGTGCTGTCCTTGGTTAGCGTGCTCTCCGTGGGTAGCGTGCTCTCCGTGGTTAGTGTGCTCTCTATGGTTAGCGTGTTCTCTGTGGTTGGCGTGCTCTCCGTGGTTAGCGTGCTCTCTATGGTTAGCGTGTTCTCCGTGGTTGGCGTGCTCTCCGTGGTTAGTGTGCTCTCTGTGGTTAGCGCGTTCTCCGTGGTTGGCGTGCTCTCCGTGGTTAGTGTGCTCTCTGTGGTTGGCGTGCTCTCCGTGGTTAGTGTGCTCTCCGTGGTTAGTGTGCTCTCTGTGGTTAGCGCGTTCTTCGTGGGTAGCATGCTCTCCGTGGTTAGCGTGTTCTCCGTGGTTGGCGTGCTCTCCGTGGTTAGTGTGCTCTCTGTGGTTAGCGCGTTCTCCGTGGTTGGCATGCTCTCCGTGGTTGGCGTGCTCTCCGTGGTTGGCGTGCTGTCTGTGGTTGGTGTGCTCTCCGTGGTTAGTGTGCCTTTAGGTGCATAATAGGATTGGTATACCCTATTTTTCTAATTAACATCTGGTAGGGAGGTTCCTTTTATAAAGACAGACTTTTATCAGAAAACAATACTTTTTGTCATAAAATACTGTTCACAAAATATTAACTCTAAAAATTGCTCTTCCACTTGTGATTGTTAAATTCTAATAAATCAGTAAATAATTACCAATAAGAATATTTATGAGTACCTGCCACATGCCAGGGAATCACTCATGTTATTTTGGCCTCAAAACAATTTGGAAGTCATTTTCCACTTGACAGAAGAGGAGCGTGTTCCCAGCAGAATGACGGCCTGGCCACAGAAGTGCCGACTTCCACACTTGGCTTAGAACCCAGGCCTGCTTTCTCCTTGTCTATTTGGTCTCCTTTAAACTGGCAAAGATTACATGTAGACACATTAATAGAGTTAATTACTCACCAGTTTATCTCTTATTTTAGAAAAATAAATACTGTAAACATGAGATTCAAACTATTTCCCCTTTCATGGAGTCCATGGAACTGGGGAGGGAGAAACCTTGAAAAGTCGGGTCGCTTGCTCCCTGCCCCCAGACTGATGGGGTGAGCTGCATTCTCGATTTTAACACCATCTGGCTCTAGGGAGCAGTTAACACAAATTGTAAAGAAAGTCTTTATGATCCATCATGGTCTTTATTTTAAAGAATAATACCAGGCCGGGTGCGGTGGCTCACACCTGTAATCCCAGCACTTTGGGAGGCCGAGGCGGGCGGATCATGAGGTCAGGAGATCCAGACCATCCTGGCTAACACAGTGAAACCGCATCTCTACTAAAAATACAAAACAAATTAGCCGGGCGTGGTGGCGGCACCTGTAGTCCCAGCTACTCGGGAGGCTAAGGCAGGAGAATGGTGCGAACCCAGGAGGCAGAGTTTGCAGTGAGCTGAGATCACACCACTGCAGTCCAGCCTGGGTGACAGAGCGAGATTCCGTCTCAAAAAAAAAAGAATAATACCAAGTGACTTTGGTCATATTGCTTAGGATTACTCTAGAACAATGTTATTCAAACGTATATACTTAGCCATGAAACCAAAACGTTCTGAACACCTAAGTTTTTCTGCAGCTGTCCCATGTTGGCGAGCTTTCTGAGCACCGCCGTGCTGGCTCGCCCGCGTGCAGCTTTCCTGAGTCAGTGGTGGCCTCAGGCGTTGCTGTCTCCCATAGGTCGCTCTGGTGCAGTGGACAGAGAGTGTGGGCCTCACGCTGGTCAGCAGGGACCTCACCTCCATGCAGCTGAAGACCCCCAGCGGCCAGGTCCTCAGCTTCTGCATCCTGCAGCTGTTCCCCTTCACCTCGGAGAGCAAGCGGATGGGCATCATCGTCAGGGTGAGGCTGCGGCGAGGGTGCTGTGCGATGGCTTCGGACATTTCGTTTTCAGGCCTTTTAGACACAAATTTTCCCAAAAGAAAGTTAAATATTTACTCAAGTGCTTTATGCTGTTACAGTTTTTTTTTTTAATGAAATCTAAGCTAATAATCTATGTCTGAGAAGCCACTGTGTCTCTAGTGAGATAAAATAACTCTCCTAAGTCAACCTAGCCAGAATCAATAATGTGGAATTTATTTATTTTTTGAAGTCAACAACTAAAGCTGTTTTGATTTCAACAAAAATAAGATGCCAAAGAGTTTGACTTTTGAACATTGATTTATGACCATAAAGTTGCCAAAATGTACCTTAATTTTTTTAGTAAACACCAAAATCATGTCTTGGAAGTTGACTAAACAATGAAGCATTCAATCCAACTGTAAAAGTTTAAGAGAATGGATGCAACCCAAATCATACTCATTAACACATTCAGACCTTCAGCCTAGCATCTCAGGATGCACAATCATGTTCTCAATCCTGACGGCACTAGTGCTGAAGAGCGGGACTAGCCCTCTGTGTAGAAACACGTGTGAGTAGCTTACCACACAGGAACACGTTCATAGGAATTGCTTTTTCCATTATGTGTTTTATTAGACTAGCAGTTATTTGCACCAAGCAATGCAGCCTAAATGTGCTTCTGTTTATTCCTGTTCTGTGATAGGATGAATCCACGGCAGAAATCACATTTTACATGAAGGGTGCGGATGTGGCCATGTCTCCTATCGTGCAGTATAACGACTGGCTGGAAGAGGAGGTATGTGAATGATTCTTCACATGGTCCACAGTGTTTTTGTGAACTTTATTGAATAGATGACGGAAAAAGGATATCCTTTCCCCAGCTTGTAGACACTGGTATCATTGGATAAATTGAGCTGTCAAAATGTCAAACCAGGTGCTGATGGGAACCACATAGATTGTCAAACACAGTATCATTTATACTAAATTATTTTAAATGCTTACAGTTCTCAATTTCATAAAGGAGAAAGGACAGGAGTCCTGTCTATTTATTTATAAATAGTTTAATTTTTTTTTTTTTGAGACAGACACTCTCTGTCAGCCGGGCTGGAGTGCAGTGGCGTGATCTCGGCTCACTGCAACCTCCACCTTCCAGGTTCAAGCCCCCCTCCTAGGTTCAAGCGATTCTCCTGCCTCAGCCTCCCAAGTAGCTGGGACTACAGGCACATGCCACCAAGCCCGGCTAATTTTTTTTTGTATTTTTTAGTAGAGACGGGGTTTCACCATGTTAGCCAGGATGGTCTCTATCTCCTGTCCTTGTGATTCACCCGCCTTGGCCTCCCAAAATGCTGGGATTACATGCATGAGCCACCATGCCCAGCCAATAGTTTACTTTCTATGTGAATAACAGTCATTTTGTTTTGTGGGTGAGTGCATGTCGGTCTATACAAGTAGGTCCTTTCAAAGAATATTTTGTTTATAATAGTGAGAAATAGAAGGCATTATCAATCATTCATTATTCTGAAATAATACTTTACATGTAATCAAAGTTATATTTTAATGTATTTCTTTTGTAACATAAATATTTGCAAGGACATTTTCATTAGAATTTTAACCTGATGCAAATTTGTGCATAAGATTCACCTAAAATTAGAACATAAGATACAAATAAGAAGCAATTCCATATTTCATTAAATTCTCCTGAAGTAACCAGGATTTGTGGGTCGTCTCATGAGGTGGTTTTGTTTATCGTTAAGCTTATGTATAAATCAGTGGTTGGATTTCCGAGGAAAACAGACTGTTGGCATTGCAGTCAACATGGCCCTTTTTGCCGTGTGCGTGTTGCTGTTGGAATTCAGAGCCTCTCCTCCCACCCTGGGACCTCAGAGATGGTCTGTCCGTGCAGCCTCCACACCCCGACGTTTACAGTGGTATTGGTAATATGAATCAGTGTCTCCTTCAGGGTTCTTTCATTCAATCAGGGACATGAATAAATTAAACTCCCTGAAGACCTAGTAAAATGCCATAAAAATTACTTTTGGTCATAATGACGTGCAATTATTGTAAAATACTTGTTTAATTTATTTAGCTTTATGAGGTCAGATCAATAAATGTCTTGCAACAGACAGATAATGTCATATGTTTTTCACAAAGATAACTTTATTAAAAATTCTATGTACATTTATTTTCTCAACACTGTATTTTCTTTCCTTGGATAAATTGTTGTCCCTTCATCAGTGTCTGTTGTGGTACTACTGTAGTAGGAAAGCCTTTCCTTTTACTACAGACTAAACGAGGCAGCAGGTTCTTCGAGCGCGTCGCTCCGCTTCCTTCAGGCTCCTCTAGAGCTGAATTCTTGGCTGTCAACTTGTGTTCTCCAAATGTTTAAAAAAAAAAAAAAAAAAATTTCCAGGATCACGTAACAGAACCAGTTTTTGCAAACCTGAGATGTAAGAATATGTAAGTCTGTGAACAGACTTAAAATAGTGATGTTCTGGATAGCTGGAGGTGTTGAGGTGATTGGCTTCCTTCCCTCTAAACACAAACTTGAGTTAGGCCCTGGACATTGTATCGTAAAGGAAACAAGCACAGGTGACGCTGAGCAACACGAGGGTCAGGGGCTCCAACCCCTGACACAGTTGAAAATCAGCCTGTCACTTCGGACTCCCAAACACATAACTACTGATAGCCTCCTGTCGACCGAAGCCATACCAGCAACAGGGATAGATTGATTATCACAATGTGTATGTTACGTGAATTGCATTCTGCATTGTTACAAGAAAGTAAGTTAGAGCAAAGAAAGTGTTATTAAGAAAATCATAAGGAAGAGAAAATGTATCTACTCGTCAGTAAGTGGGAGTGGGCCATCGTAATGACCTTCTGACCTTCTTCCTCACGGTCTTCATGTTGAGGAGGCTGAGGAGGAGGAGGGGTTGGTCTTGCTCTCTCAGGAGGGCAGAGGCAGAACAGGTGGAGGAGGTGGAAGTGGAGGCAGGAGGCGCAGGCTCATTCCGCATAAGCTTTACTGAAAAAAATTTGCGTAAAAGTGGACCTGTGCTGTTCAAACCCATGTTGTTTAAGAGCCATCTGTAGCTAAAATTGGGAATGACGAGGTATAATGGATGACAGCCTTGCCTTTGTAATTCACAGTAATTGTCACCTCCTTTGTCTCCTGTAACACATGACCCTATAGAGGTCACTATTCCGATTCCTGAACAGGAGACGGGAAGAGACACAGCTGTTGGATGCATGAAGAGGGGTGCTAGACCCATACCTCTCCTCCAGCCCTTCCTGCCATCCCTGCAGCCTCCAAACCAACGTCAAATCCAATCAACTGGATGAATTAAAAAGAAATTGCAAAAAATCTGAAGAGTTCAATAATGTTTATTTGCCTACAAATTAACCTGGATCAGCAGATAGTACACTGGCTTCATTAGAGTGGGGCCTCCCATGCGGAGAGCTGCCTGTTGCCCAGGAGAGATGATGGGTGATGACAGGGTCTCTGCGCGTGACTGGGGGCTGTGATGTGCATGCGTGCACCGTGATGTGTTTCTAAGTGTACGGTGTGCCTGGAGGTTTCTCAACACTTCTCCTGGGCAGTGCTGAGAAAGGTCAGATGCCCAAAGCCCCAGCTCTCCGGGCCGCAACTGCCCATCTCTGGCTTTCTGTTGCTGCCTGCGGAGCTGGCCTCTCTGCTGCACGTCCACCCTGAGGGCTGGCGGAGCCTTCCTTAGGGGCACTGTCGCGTTTCCTCTCCCGACCATGCAGACTCTCAGTGTTCAGTGCAACTTTGCACAAACCAGGTTTACTAGTGTTTGATCTTCTTTTCCGTAAACAAATGTAGCTAATTAACTTCTTTAGGATATCTTTGCTGAAGTGTCTGCATTATCAACGTTCACATTTTTAATGTTTTAAGTGTACATTGAAAATAATGTTTGTGATTAGTTGTTCTCTAGCTATAATGTAGAGCTCTATTCTCCTTGGAGGTTACCAAGATAGCCTCTAGAAGACCTCTCCTCTCGCCGGGGATCATGGTGGCGGGCGGGTTTGCAGCTGCACCACCTCTGCGGGGCTCACTGTGGGCCGTAGCTGAGTTGGGAGTACCCACCTGAGCTGCAGAAAGTTCCTGGGGCTTCAGGAAGATGTGATTACCACTGATTTCTTTGTATTATCAACCCTAATGCCAGAGACTGCTAAACCTGCCAGAGATAGGAGCTTTATAAACATTGTTCAAATTTGGAAGAGTTCCTCAAATTTGAAATTTAAGAGGGAGTCAACAACAACTGGATGGAGAGTCCTAAGCAGCCAATCTTTCAGGACCTTCCAGGACACAGAAAAACCCTGTCTACAGGGAGGGTCACTGTTAAAGCATCCTAAAGTATGTTAGCCCTAATAATTGCTAGGCCGGGCGCGGTGGCTCACGCCTGTAATCCCAACACTTTGGGAGGTCGAAGTGGGCGGATCACGAGGTCAGGAGAACGAGACCATCCTGGCCAACATGGTGAAACGCCGTCTCTACTAAAGATACAAAAAAATTAGCCAGGCGTGGTGGTGTGCACCTGTAGTCCCAGCTGCTGGGGAGGCTGAGGCAGGAGAATGGCGTGAACCCGGGAGGCGGAGCTTGCAGTGAGCCGAGATCAC